GTATCAAATATCCTAAATTTGTAATAATGATACTTATACTTTGCAATTTTATAATAACTATAATCACAATTTATTTTATCAAAAATATTTGGTATACCTATAGTAAACAAAACAATAATAATAAATTATTACAAAAAAAAAACACTCTCCACAATGAAAACTAAGGTAGAAATACGATTATACAAATTAGGTTATTATTTATTAATAAAAAAAAAAGAAATTTGATCTTATCTTACGATTCTTCTTCAAGCATAGACTGCAGATAAAGTAGGTACGTAGCCAAACTATTGAGTACCTAATAATCTCATTATACCGTAAACATGCTAATACTAAATTAAAATACATATACATAAATTTTAAATACAAAGATCTCAGAAAATAAATGTATATATTATGCATAACATAAAGCCGCCAATAGTCATATTATATTTAACATTTACAAAATATATATTTTAGTATGCTGCGAATGATATGTGTATGTATTATAAATTAATATTATGTTAATTATTAAATTTTCTAGTACTCCTATCAACCGCTTTCTGTATACTGATGTAACTGGTATAGGTATTTCATGACTTCGTGAGACTGGAATTCGATATAACATGATTGAAAATGACTACAATTATTTGAATTCAGGAGATCGAATACCTACAAAATATTATTCATCTATCAAATTTATCTATGAGGAGAAGACGAGTTAAAAATGCACTTAACAATGCGAAAAATACATCTACCACGTCAAATTAGCTTGATAAAGTATAGTATAGATAATTCAAAATTCATAGCTACACGTATTAAAGGCTAAAGCACACAAATCATGTTCAACCGAAAAAAGATAAAACGACACTGAAACTATAATAGAGTTACCACGAAATGAAATTCGTGCTATGATATAATAATAACTACTGAACTTTGGGAGAGTATGATTTTTATCGTAATAGGAAAAAAAGCATAACGCCGAGCAAGTTTAGTGTTAAAAGTTTAACTGTTTATAAACTTACTGTATACGCATGGTTTGAAAACGAACACCTGGCATTTGATATGGCGGTAAAATGATTCATAAATAAATCAGCAAAGGTTGAATAGGTAACATTTATTTTTTTGATTAATATTTAAAAAAAATTACGATCTTGTTACTATTTTTGTAATAATAAATAATTGAATGAGTGAATGTGTAACTGACCTGTACGATGACAACATTATACAATAATATAATAGTATTGTTCTCGAGGATTCGACGGTGTTGATATAAATGGGAAGACGTAGCCGCAGCCGGTTTTGACCATTAGACGACGTGCATGCTAATTGTGTTGCCGTGGATACGCCGGACAACCAAACATTGCAAAGTACAACCGTCCAAAGCAGTCATCCATCGACTTGCCTTTATCTCCATCCAATCTATTAAATTCCCGCGAAATAGACTTTATTTTACACTAGAAGACGTCTTATTTTTAATTTGTATTGATCTTGGAGTTCTGCTGGTCGATAGTTGCGAATTTCGAACCTACTTGATACTCACTTCTGTAAAATTCGCCAACATTGGTCATTATTTAAAAAACATACAAACTACTAATTTCAAAAATAAAAATTCAGATTCGACCGTATTTAAAACGATAAATGAAGAGAATATTTGATTCAGTTAAGACTGTTGAAAGTGAACCTTTTTTACGGGGCTGGACTTAGGCAATAATCTGTATAAATCGATGAGAGTCTCAACAAGCAGAAGAAAAATTCATCCAGTACCTAAGCCCTGATTTTAATTTTGAAACGTATTACTTAAATTTCTCATTATTTTTTTGATTATATGTGAGAAATGGATTGAAATTTATTGTATTGCTTAGCAAGTTACAAAATATTTTTTTTTTAATTTTACTTAATAATTAAGGGTTACTAAAAAAATAGGACAGAAAGTGAACAAATTCAAATATTTTTTCAAAATTAAAATTGTAATTCATGAATATTATTTTCTTTTGTTTATTAGTTTAAATGCATGAATAAACGACCCGTTTTTGGCAATCTTAAAGTCTGGAATTATGTTTAAATCAATTAGAGAACAAATTAGGTAATAGACCCAGTAGAGCTCTACCAATCATATCATTGATCTTTAAGGATGCGTTTGGACTATTAAAAAGATATTATTATTGAAAAACAGTGACCTCAAAACTGAATTGTATAATATAATGATTCGTTGGTGGCTTAATAATGCACAACCTTATATCAAAAGTTTAAAATTAACTTTTTATGCTACAATTATAACTGAGTATTACACACATTTTAATGCGATAAATTATTCGAGAGTAAAATATACGAATACTTACATAATAATTATGTTACGAACATTTTATATTAATAATATTGAAAACTTTTAACATTGTTAGCTGTTACCTAATTGATTTAATCATAATTCCAGATAGAATAATTCCATTCTTGTATCAATCATTAGAATTCGAAAATCGTAATTATATTCACCTAAACCAGACATATATTAATTTWAAAAAAAAATTCAAATTGGTAAAAAAAATCAATTAAATCTCCTTAATCAATAAAAAAAAGATAGGTTATAGATCAGTAAATCAGAAAAATGATATATTTATTGAGGATAAAATCAGAAAATTCAGAGCATAACATTTTGGTTTCCTAAAAAACCCCAAAAAAAAATTGTGATACCACAAATTGTACATCCATCTGTACCTGTACCTCAAAATCATTTGTATGATCATTAAAATCACCATAAATTTCTAGATTACCTATACTTACCAGTTTACCACGTTCTAAAGTGATTTTTAAATCACTTGGGTTTTTACGTGATTTATGCTGCATTATAAAACAAAATGAATGTGTTAAATTCACGAAAAAGAAACTTTGATAATAATTAATAATTTGTAAAGTATTTATATTCCAAATCAATTCATCTAATTTTATCTCTTTCATATTATTTCAATAATAGTTATAAATTAAATTAATATTATTAAATGATTAATTGTATAATATTATTAACTTAAAAGTCAATGCTGATGTAGTAGAAGTCAAAAATCTAATAAAAAGTCTAATCTTTATTCTATGGTAGAAGTGTGTGTCCCTGGAGTAAGAAAGTGGGAACAGGTGTATGTTTAAAACACTGGGATAGATAATATAATATAGTATATACTACATTTATAATTTATATGATGGCGTTAAAACGGCTTGAAATTAAATTGGTTTTAAATTCTTAAGCTGCATACTTTTAAAACGGTTTGCATTTTTAAAATACCATTTTAACGCTATCATATAAACATTATAAACGTAATAATATATTGGAGTGCGGACTTGGCCGTAAAAACCATCGAGTTTTTATGAAACACGTAAAAGTGAAATATGATATAAAATCACGTGGAGCAACAAACTTACTCAAAAAGCAACTATACAGGAAGAATGGTGTCGTTTAGTTAATCCAACCTCCAACCAATGCGTTTGAAAGTTTTTTAAGAGATATGCAAGACACATTTGTATACAATTATTATAATATCAATGACAACTGTAAAACTATAGAGTACAAGCTCCTGCAGTGATACATTTCAGAATACATTTTTTCACGTATAGGTACCTAGATGGCTAGACAGCATACGAGTATACGACACAATTAGTCATTTTTTGTAGAAAGCATTCGCCGATAGATAGCATACGACACGATGAGTACCTAAATATACACAAATAGCATAAATAGCCCATCTAAACACTATTAAAATTTTTTAAATATTGTCCAATACTTCTCTCAAATTATATTTCCTATGGTAATGGCGCTTTCTTATTTTCATACACGTAGTTCTAATTAGTTTAAACGATGTATATTCGTGGCTAAGTGCCCTAAATCCACATTCCCTGGATGCTAATTAGGAAAAAAAAAATTAAAGATAAACTGTATATTTTTTCTATTATATTCGACAATACTGTGTGTTTCATTTTTATGTAATTGACTTTCCTAGATCACAACAACAATTAAATAGTTGAATAGCTTTTTCTAGATGCTGTATTATTAATACCTAATAGCTTTTGAAGCCTTAATCAGATTACCTCTATTTACTGCATTCACAAAAGTAACGAGTGTATAAATGTTTAATTATTATTATTATCAGATTTATGATTTTCTACCAACATAAAACATAACACTATAACAGCACACTATTTTTTTCATCATACTTCTCACAATATATGTAGAAATATAACCCAAAACATCAAATCACATATTTTCTCTAAAAGTTTTTATATTACTTATTTGTGTAAATTTATATATATTAACTAGCTAACCCGATAGACATTGTCTTGAATAATAACACGAAAGGAAATAATATATGTATTATTACTGTTTATATTATCTATATCAGTGGTTTAAAATAAAATAAGTGGATTTTACTTTATTTGTGTAACTCAAAAATTAATAACCGAAGATAGGTACTTGAAATGTTTACAAAATATTTTATTTATATTAACATTTTCTTCATACATATATTATAAATATTTGAACGTATAATATTATTTATAACTATTTAAAGCATTGGAAATTTTCCAATTTTTTTAAAAAATATTGTAGATAAAATATTTTCACTTTGTAAAACAACTTGGATTTTTAATACAACATCCTCTTAAGTTGCTGCAATAGTAGTTAAAAAACATTTAAAAGATACTTACTACTAAACCATGATAATCTTATATGCATGTAACATTAAAATTTTGACGAAATTCTGAATGGAAAAAAATGAAGTCGGCAGAATGAAAACTGGCTATTGATGCGCAATCTCTTGACGGTGGATTTCTGTAATGGTTTCACAAAATAAAGCGCGCTTATTTTGAAATATTTGATAAGGACATAATTTTCTTATATAAATGTATTATAATGATGTTGTATACGAGTTTGAAAACCCCTGTATTTGGAGTTCAAAATAGTAAAGTTGGTATCATATATAATATATTTCATATAATCATATCTATAGCCGTGCTATTCACCGACTCACCAGTCACCACTGACCGATATATCAGAAGTTCACAGGCTACTTCATTCTCTTCTCCGACAGTCTTTTTAGAACATCTTTTTAATACGGCGCTCCTGACTTTTTTTCTAGATACTATAAAAATTCTATAGAGTAGAAAGTGTGTCTCTATTTCTCTAATAGACTTCAGAGACTGTTTGTTTACAATATTTTATTGTGTGTGTCAAATTGTTCACATGGGCAATTAATTAGCCTACAATAACTCCATCCATATTATATAGTATACCTAATATGATTCATGTCGTAGTTCCTGTCTCCTGTCGATAACGGTAATAGTAATAAACTAATAAATATTAAATAATGATTTCATAATAGTATTATCATTATCATTAAGCAATAAATATATTACAAAGTAAATAATAAATGTATTGTAATATATATTTAGTTATGATTATAATTTGTTAAATTAGCAATTTAATTAATTTAAATAATTCATGATTAACTGTAGGTATTAATTTAAAGAATTTTAAGTTGTGTTTCCTATCTCTAAAAGTACTTAATTTCGTTAAATTCTTATGTCAATCGTAAAAGCAAGTCTACATCACTCTTTTGTGTAATTAATTTGTCATTTATGAGTATGAGTACATAATAGGGACTTAAATTATTCATCTTTTTTGGCTCTCATACATATCAGTACATAACTCGGTTTGTTTATGCTTTTGGACTGTTTTTGTTTTGATTAATTCTATAGTTAATCAACATATATATTTATGGATAAGAATGAAAAAAATTGTCCTGCTCTTGTTGTCTTGTGTGTTTAATTCTGTGTTTATATATTTGACGATTTTATCTTATTGTTTTAGCTAAATTTTAAATAACTAAGATATCAAGATGCCTGCTTATTCTTTAATCGAATATAAGTTACGTCGATATTTTTATTTGGGACATGAATATTGTATATATGTTCCTCCTTCAATTCGAACTTCATTTTGGAGTCAAAATCATTATGATGATGTTACTGGTGTACGGATAATAGGAAAAATTGTTAAAAGAAATAAAGCTGAAGAGATTAATTCAATAGTTCCAGTAATTTTAAAGGTTAGTTATCATCAAGCTTACATTTATATTTTTAGAGTATTGTACAATATTATTAAATATAGATAAAAAAAGAAGATAAGCTTCTTGATGATCGGCTCCTGATTTTTGCATTGGCTGTGTGTGCCAAGTTTAATTTGAAACCATGTGAAAAAATGGTTGCTGATGCTTATGCAGCAGTCTCTACAATATGTACAGATGGATTAAAACTATTGATGTTTGTTAAATTCTGCCAAATAGCTATTGGTATTCTTTTTGATCAAGGTAAATATTTTTCAATATGTTAAACCCACAAAAATAACACACATTTTGTTTAGGATTTTTAACCAATACGTCTAATGGCCATGGCCGTGGTTTTACCAAATCTATGACTAACTGGTATTTAAATAGAGATCCATTACTAACTACAGAGCAAATAGTAAGGAATAAATGTTACGATGGTTGGAGTCATAAAGATGTGATGAAACTAATTCATCTTCACTCCGACGAACCATGTGATTTAATTTAAAAATAATTATTTTTATGTAGGTAATTGAATTATTAATGATTTAAATAAATTTTAGGTCGTATTATGTACATTACTTACACTTTGAGTGGTTTTGAAAAGGTTGAACAATTATTTGGATCTCAAATGAAAGATGTTTGTATTGACGATAGAGATGAAACATTTGAAAATAAGCAATTAAAATTTATTTACAACTTTTTAAATCAAGTAGAAAATATAAAAAAAATGGATGCATGTGCATTGCGGTATGAAATTGAATTAAATAGATGGGGTCATAAACCTGAAGTTATACCTCGAGAAATGCTAAAAAATCCTACTGTGAGTTTAATCGCCCTAGTTAAATCTAGTCTAACTAGTTTAATTTTAATGGGAATTAATATTTGTTTTAGATTTTAACTTCACTTGTTATGCATTTGTCATTGGAGAAAATTTTGGAGAATACATTTTTTTTTGCTAAAAACAGATTATTTCACAATTCAACACCTGATATAGGGCTTTGGGAGTATATTTTACGGTTCAACAATACAAGTCTATTAAAAAAATCTCAAATTCATCCAATTGAACCATTTATAGAATATGCTAAATATGCTAGAACAAGCAAGTAAGTAACATACAATTTACTTAAATGTATGTATTTTAAAATATAATAATTTCAGAAATATCTTAAAATTGCAAAATAATATAATGAAAAAGGAAGAAAACACTGAAACTGAATTAATTGATAGTAAATTAAAAGTGATAGTAGAGTTAAAAAAAACACCAGATAAAGAAAAAGTTGTTATTCAATCAACTGTAAAAAATGAAGGAGTCTTATTAAATGAAGAGACACAAACTCAAAATCAGAATGATCAAAAATGTAGTTCAGCTTCAAGTAGTCACAAAAATACACAACATCAAAAATCTGCACAAAATTTAAAAAAATCATCTGGCGGAACAACATTGGAGGAAAATCAAAAAGAACATCAAGTCCAATTAGCGGACAGTATCCATCGCTTATCAAATTTAAATATCAACAGTCAACAAAAAAATCTTGTATCAACAACAGAAGAAATAGGTGGTGATGTGATTCAATCACAAGTGAATGATATCAAACAAAAACAACCTAGTGTTTTGTATATGATGAAACCACTTCCAGTGTTAGAAGACAAACTGTTGACATTTTTATCTGAAGATCTGATAAAAAAAACTTGTGAAGTATTTATTTACAATTATTTTAAGTTCAAAAATTATAAATCTATTATTTTTATATATTTATTTTAGGTTTTAGACCCTTTAGGTCTTCGTATAATGATAACATATGACAGTCGAATACGTATGAAGAAATCCATGTGTGCATGTTCACGATTGGTCAGTGTGCATGAAGCTATTACATTGATAACATTGTCTTTAATTTACCCAGAAAAATTAGAAAATAAACCAACTGTATATGGTTTAAATTCAGATTTAAATTCATCTAAGAAGATTCAAATTGATTATAACCAACCTTTGACCTTTTCCTATTTAGAACCCATATTGTTTAAAGTAATTTTTTATTTTAACATAAATCATAAAACTTGTAATTATATTATATTTATTCAAATCTTTTTTTCTAGACACCTGATAGTAATGATGGTTTAAATTCAGTAGATTCTGACAACAAAGATATTCCTCAAGTGTATCCTCATCTTTCTTTTAAGTGGGCTAAAGACAACAATAAAGAATTTGATGTATTTGTATTTTTGGGAAATAACAAAATGAATTTGAAAGTATTTAAAAGTTATATGAAAGGATATACAGCACATTTTAAAATCCCAGTGAAGTAAGTATTAGCAAAATATTGAGTTATATTTCTACTGACTTTAATTTATTTAACAAAAAGATTTCTCACATTTTCTGTTTAATTGTTTGATGTAGATAATTTTAATTCATAATATGTTTTATTATCCAAGTAACTTTAGACTCAAAAACACATTACATTCTAAAGTGAAATTTTACTAAAGAATAAAATATTCACTGTTCAATATCGTATTGATTATTTTGATGTCATAACTGCAAAGAAGTTACAGTTCTTCTGTTTTTTAAGTGAAACTTAAGGATTCTTTACACTCAATTGTTCATTAATTAGGAATTACTTTAAGTGGTTGAGTGTGGTCTAGTCTAATCATCCCATGCGTTTATACACGAATTGGAGTTTAATAGTTTAATTTTTTTTCAATAATAGCTGTGGAATCCTGATTGAATCCGATATTAATTTTTATTGCTTTGTATAAGTTTTGTAAACTGTTTTAAATTCTTTGGTTTTGTCAATATCAGTTTTTTAGATATATTTTAATATACATTAATGCAAATTCAATGTTGGCAAATGAAAAAACCAAAGTTTTACCCGACTATTTATAAACCAGTTATTACCAGTTTGACACTATTTAAAATGTTTTGTACTTAGATCTTACTTAAGTTGGGTATTTATTAATTAAAACACAATATTTTTTATTTTTTTCAGAATTGTTTTAATTTGTCTGAATGGAAAACATTATGATCAAATAAATCTTGGCCGAAGAAATACTTTATTTATTATTGGCTTTGATAAAAATGTAGGCAAAATAATTAATTCTTTCATAAAGAATGATTTTTAAAAATTAAAATACATTATATTATTTTAAGATCAAGATAAATTCATTTTTAATTTATATTACTTATTCTTTTACAATTTATAAACAAACACTTGACTTAGTTTAATCTCTGTGGCTCTATAATAAGTAATAATACATATTCTGAATGAAAGAGCTTAATTTAGTTAATATAGTATTGTATTAAAATTTTCGAATGATAATATAATAATATCTAATATAGTAATAAACTGTTTTCCATAAGCAATACTCTAATCATGTTAATTATTTTTGTATTCCCCATTAAAACCATTAATGTTATATTATTATCTTTTCTACCAGATTGTTATAATGTTATTTTTACTAAATATGATATTATATAAAAACAATTTTTATTGTTGTGGAATTGAATTTATTTTTAGCTAAGCTTATTTCAATGAGGGTACTTTTAACCAAGTTAAATATTATTAAGTGTATTCAACTAAACAAGTTTTTTTTTGTAGAAGTAGTTTCTAAGCTGAATTTTTTCAATGTTATCAAGTAATTTCTTAGTTAATTAATTTTATTATTAATTTTTAAGCACTTTTTTTTTCTTATTAAAAACCCTAAGTATTTAAAATATTTGTTTTATAAGTTTTTTTATATAAAAAAAATGAATAATCAGAAATATTAAGAAGATGTAGACATACTGTTTATTTATTTTTATTATATAAAGTAAAATATAATACCTATGTAAAAATATAAAACTGATACATCAAACCCACAAAAATCTTATCCTCTATAATTTTTGTGATTTTACTCGATAATTACTTTAAAATCATAATATATTATATAAAATATTGTTTTATGATATAATAAAAGTAAATTGCGCACCATATTAAACGATACTAATCATAAGGCCTTTTTTGTATTTAAAGAAAATTAACAAACTATGATATACACAAAATGAAAAAATATGTTGACAAATATACATTACATTTAAGTTTTTCTTACTCAACTAATATTTATTAGCTAGTTATTTTGTTCCTATTTTAAACCATTGTATAGTGTGTCGTTTAATAATACCAGAGTGCATCAAAAAATTAATATTTTGTCATGCCTGGAGCAGTGGTCGCAAATGCTATCTTCAGTTAACGCAACTGAGCATAATAGCGTTAATAATACTGTTCTATKATAATAGCAGTCACTTGGAAACGCGATTTAAGATAGTATAAAGAATAATTAATAATTATTTCTTTTACTGTCGGTTTAGATACTATCTTTAAATAAAAAATCTTATAAATCGTGCTTGCAATTGCAAGTTGGAACTTAAAAGCTCACAACTCGCAGTGTGGCCGTTTGAGAAGATATTGTTCTGTGATAATATTTTGTTGTGTAACATTGTTTTCGTTTTTCATAATTTTGCTATCAAAATTAAATTATCAAAATAATCACCACAAGTTCACAACACGAATCACGATTGAGATTTGAGATATTAAGAAATAAAAATATTAGTTTTTAATAAAATTACAATCTTAGCGAATGTAATATATTATACATAATATAATTATATGTAATTACTATTTACTTATCGTATTCTCGTCATATTGTTCCTCATTTACCCGACTAAAGCATCCTGTTCGAGTGTTTGAACATTTTATTTGTATACTACGAAAATGCTTAAAATGTATTAATAAGACATCACCGTAACTAACTTTCCAAAATGTATAATACCTAATCTATAATTTTTAACTTTAAACCTCAAATGTAACTACGGTGTCTGTAGCTACTTTGTCACGACCAACAAGATGCATTTTTATCTTATACCTTGCCATATTTTTGACAAACAGTCACACAACATGCCTTCATTAGACGGTAAAACGAACAGGTACAGACCGTGAAGCGGTGGATACGATTTTGCTGTTTGCATAATATGGGCTGTGGTCCTAGTCATTTCGGAATCTCATATTCCAGAAAGACCAAGAAGAAAAAAAACAAGCACAAAGAATCCGGTAATGCATATTATTGTTTTCGTTTGAATTTTCTATATTTTACTCTTCACAATCCATAAACAAACATTTACTTCCTTATTTTATTTGTATGAGAATTAGAATATTACTCAATTTGAATTTTGAAAACTTGTGTTGTGTATCCTTTTACGCATTACACTATTACACTTTTATTTTAAATACTATAATATATAAATATATTATTAAGTAATTTTATTATCATGTATGTGTAGGTTATCATTAATCACCAGTTAGAGTATGTATTTTTAAATTAATCTACTTAAACATGTATTCAGGTGCATAGTCTGGATTTTTTCAGAGGGGTTGTTTTTATTTAATTTATATTGATGTATATTGTATTACATGCGGGAGGATTTACACACTTACTATTTTAATCATTAATATTCATATGTTATACCCATATATATTGTCTTCATCTCACATGTGTGTAATGTGCAGCAAATTTTATGCTTAGCAGATCACGTTTAGCTCCAATTGTTTAAAAATTAGAATGAATTGACTTCTTGTAAAATTTAAACGTAAGAGTATTAATTACATAATCTTGTGGACTTTTTATTATATTTTAATTTTGAAGTGAACTCTTAAGTATTTTAAGATTTACAAACAATTTACAATTTTAAAACACTTACAACTTGCTTCAACATTTTGTCTAATTAATTATCTTCCTTTAAATTTTATAAGAGGTTAATTCAGTAAATTACCTAAATATGTAGGTAACTGGTCCATTATTTCTAAAAGTCTACCATCAGAGATATTGAGAATGTTTAAAAACTGCTGTTATATACCATAAAACAAAGACTAACTAGTAATTTATATCTAAGTCTGGAAGATTAAAATAATAAATAAATGAGGTCCAGATAATAAAAATCATTGTCAAATCTTTATATTAGTATAATATGAACACAAAAATATTCCAAGCCAAAAAAATAGGACTGTCTAATTTTTTTTCTCTGAACTTTTTTATCTGGACTACAGTATAAATTACTTGCCAATCCCTATTATAAGCTTAACAATAATTAAAGAAATAAATTTCAAAGTTAAAAAGTTCCTAATAGAAACTTCTTATTATATAATTTGTATTGAAATAATTTATTTTGAATTTTACAAAACAAATTTAACAGTCAATTTTATGATGTATTTATAACCATAACACAACAAAAGTTTCTTATTAATAAACGTTTGTTTTTAGATGATGAAAAAAGTGAGGGTAGTGCTTATGAAAATCATGTTGAAGAACAAATACAGCTGACAAGTACACCGTCTGTAAACAACTTATGTGACATGTCTGAAATGGATGATTCAAGTCCACTACATCAACGTGTGTCAGGTCCACAGTCTTCCACTTCGTTATTTATCAATCCGTAAGTAACTAATTTTTTATTCATCATTAACTATTATAGAGTACTTATACATAATTCTATGTATAGACAATTATCTTCTAGTCAACTCAATTTCTTTAGAATGTTAGATGAAAAAATAGAAATGGTAAGTGATAATCAATCTTCTATATTCTTATTTTGAAAAAAAAAATATTATTATTTTCTATTAATACAATTTAAATTATATCTTAGGGCGCAGATTATACACAAACTATTGAAGAACAACGTTTGGAAAAAATTCATCGCACGCATGCATTATTAATGGAATGGGAACGAGCACGAATTCGCAATTCTCCAAAACCTTGCTCAAACTCTAGATCCCGTTTTATACGCAACCCACGACAACCACAATTTCGAGTTTCCCATTCGGTAGTTCAATTTGACCAAGAACTAGGTGCTTTCCATACTGAACTCTTATGAAGTACAAAATTTATTATTTATTTTAACATATTAATTGGAATTTTCATATTATTTTACATTTATTGGTAAAATATTGTTGAATGGTATTAATTTATTACAGTATTAATGATGGTTAAAATAATTTAGAGCAAATTAAAGAAGTTATTATTTACAGTTTTAAATAAAACTTGGACATCAGTAAAAATCTATTAAAAACTGACTATTATATAAGTACTGGTCAAAGTTCTCTATATTTTAACATAATTAAAAAAATTATTTTAACTAAATTTATTGTGATGATAATGCTTCTCAGACTGATCATCATTTATTGTTTTTTATTGCATATTGAATCTCTTTATAATAATATTTTAATATTTAAAATATTGTTTAATGTTATTGATGTTAAATGTTTATTATTTAAAAAAAAAATGCAGCTAATATTTTACCCATAAGACTTGAAATGTGCTATAATTTAAATATTATAAATAGTTATAATTTAGTTTAGTACTGTTTTTTTTCTAGTCTGTATATCATAGTCTTGTTATTAGATTAATTAAGTTTATATTTTAAATCATTACTTTATTTTAGTAAATTGGTGTGTGCAATATAACGTCTGACATACATTTTTTAATATTGTGTATTAGAATATGTCTGATAAACTATCACACTTATTTGATAAATTTTTAATACTGAATATATTATGCATGATTCCCAAAAAAATATGTATGTCCATTTGTTTTGTTGGTCAGTATTATATTAAAAAAATTGAGTTTAAATAAACATAAATCATTTAAATTTAAACAACTCACAAGTTAATTGTAAAATACAATCATGAGTAAGCTTATTAGAAATTTTCCTAGTCATTAAATATTAGAATTCTGTAAAGTATTTGTATTGTTTACTATTGTTACTTATTATTAATTATTAGCATTTAATTATTCACTGTAAGTGTAAGTCGTTTTGTTAAGTACATAGAAATATTTACTTGTAATCTAAACTATATATTATGTTAATTTAATTTCTTAAAAATGAAATATTTTAAGAAAAAGTAGTTAGTTCTGATTATATACCTTTATAATTTTTGCTTGGTAGTTTGTCATTAAATTACTAACTTTTGTGACTAATATTTATGTTTTTTTTTTTTTTTTTTTATGAGTGTTATTTACATTCATTCATAATAATGTTGTGTTTTTATAAATGTAACTAATATCACTATAACGTATAGTGTTAAATTCAATTCTTACTAATATTTATTTAAAAGTGTATCTTAATTTTGGGCGATAATTTCATGATAATGTTTTCGAAAGTGGATTAAATTTATCAGATACTTAAATTGTATGTTCAACTATTGAATCTCAGTTGCTTTAGTTCATTACTATCTAGTTTATTTTAATGATGATAGTAAATTTGTGACATTGGTGTTTATTCATGCTATATTTACAATTTTTATTGATTTTATGTCATAAAGATAAAATTATCTATGCCCATGGCAAGCTATGCGTTAAGGTGTTACATTAAATTATTTAAGATAAAATTACATTTATTAAACTTAATACATATTTTTATTGTTGTATATTAAAATAAAACAAAGGCTGTGAGTCAGAGTAATTTCAAAGTTTTCCTTATATTTAACATGTATTTATTAATATATGACTGATTTTTTTTTGTCCTTTAATTTACCTAGATTAAATTAGTATTTTGTAAATAATAATTTACTCTCTCAAAAAATATAAATGTTTGTGGTTTTGTGTGTAAAATAAATTTTGTTTGGATTTGCTTTTGTTTTTATCAGTTGAAGCTTCAAATGTATGTATTTCTATCATTTTTTAATAATAAATAAATAATGAACTACGAGTGTCCAACAAATATGTATGTAAATTTAACATTTTTTGGTACTTTCTGTTATATTTATAAATCTTATAGACTATAAGGTCTGTGGTTATTTAAAGAAAAATGTAGTATGTCCCACACTACCATTCCAGGGATAAGGATACTACACCAAAATAATGACCAGTACATTTCTACTAGGTAACATTAACTATTATTAATTATTAACAATTATCCACAAAATAATAACACGATACATCAGTTTACATTCTACAGTTTAATATTATACTTAATGATTATAAATTTATAGTATTGATAAACAAATACAATTTAGAAAACAATAAATTTCATGTGGGTATGGTAATTAGCAGATATCTTTACGTTATCATTAAATTAAATTCAAACCACTCTCGTTATATTTGGTTAAAACTTAAAATTGTAAATCGACATAGATTTCAGATTATTAAGTTAACCCTATCTTATTTACAAATCTTTAATTATTATTAGAAAACTTTTCTGATATTACATTACATATATAACATGTTCAAGAGTGTTTTTTAATAGTGATTGGATAGTTAATTTTTCTAAGTGTAGCATTAAATGAATTGATCTTACGAAGATGTATTGATGTGTAATTCTTTTTGCTTGTAACTGTCAGTGTTGATACATTAAAATTTTATCAAATATTTGCATTAAATATTTTATGGTTTTTAAATAGGCACTATTAAAATACTTACTCGATTAAAAATTTAAAACAAGGTTTCTCATAAGTGGTTAATGCTGGAATTAAAAATAGACTAAAGTAGGTATTTATTTGAGATTTTCAAATTTATTCATTTATTTTAATTTTAATGTCTTGATAAAATACTAAATAGTTAAAGGATGAACACACTATATCCCTTTTCCCTTAGTTAACAATGAATCACCTCAATCAACCCTAATATGTCTAAAAACCATGGTTTATGAGGAATAAACAAATTCATAACGATACAGAAATCCCATCTCTCCAAGACCTAATAAAAACACAATTTAAAAATTTCCACACTCAAATTTAATTATTAACACTATATTACAAACACAAGGTAATTTTTAATTATTGAACGTAATCAAACTTGTAATACCATGTAAAATGCAGAAACATTTCAAATTAATTACATTGTTAAGGCTTAGTCAAAAATCTTGAACAAATAAAACAAGTTGAAACAGGAGCTATTGTTTTACCAACTTAATTAAGGCTACCTACCTACATAATTAAATTTTATAATTATATAGATCAGTTGTTAACCTATTTGCCTATTTTATACCTGTATACCTCCTAACGTGAATGATTAACAAGTTGTTCACACCGTTCTAAATGGTAGGTCGGTATTACCTCAAAAGTCAGTTGGTAATAAGTTATTACTAATAACTAATAAAATTACAATATCATATGCCATATTGTATATTTGTATATGTGTATAGCCAACACTCCAACAGGCACATTGGACGCCCACACATTAGGTACAGAGATATAATGACCTATGAGCAGAAGATAGGCAAAGTCAAAAAGTGATTGACCCAAATATCATTCAATTGAATATTTGAATTGTCTCGCTTTTTTTCAATAAAACGATTAAAATTATGTCAATTACATAATGATAAACTAAATTGAATATCGTTGTAAGATAATCTTAGTAAATTTTAACCGTTGTTTATCTAGATGTATAAAAATATTGCTAGCATAAATACAGTAAACAGATTTAACACTCAGTTAGAGACATCCATAATAAGAGGTAGGATTTTTAACGGGCTACGAAGAGCACGGCCACACGGGTTCAGCTAATATGTCATATTTGCGGTCCTATAGGTCACAATGTTACATACTTAAGGAATTCCCAAATTCATTTAACGCTCAATTTAGAATCTAAATTGTTCACCCGGATTGTGAAGAGGTTAGAGGCTGAGAAGACGAGTCAATGACTCCCCTCAAAATTAAGACATCTGATGCACTTTGCCAGTTTGCCACCCTATCCCGAATAAGACATAGGTAGTAAGTTATAAGGGCCGTTCTTACAATGTCCGGTTAAGTGTCGGTTAAGACTAACCGGTAGAATTCTATCGGTTAACTCATGATAAATTCTTCCGATTAGGTAAACATTTTAATATTTGAAACATAGACATAGAGACATATAGACTAATATAATTATAAATAATTACTCTAATACTCTATAATTTGAAATCTATGAAAAACAGAAATAGAGAAAGACTGAAAGACTGAAAGACACCCTACTCCTAATGCGGCCCTCACACGATCAATATTACTGACACTATGAATATTGACAGTATTTACTTTACTGACAGTATAGTCCTCAAACGGTCATTACAAATTACAGTCAATACTCAGTATTTTTTACTTTCACAGTAGTTCAGATCGATTGTTGTCTATTGATATTGTATATTGTCGTTAATTTTTTTCAATTTTTTCCGAAAATTGCTTCTTAATGTATTAATTTTTTTTTTTACATCTTCAATTGTAGAGTCATTTTTCAAATGTTTATAATAAACTAAGAGTTTTTTATAGGCAGAATTTTTTTTATCTCTATTGGAGTACTCTTTACAACGAACATCCCACAATTCGGGCAATTGTTTGTACTTTAAAATAAAATCACGCAAAATGGACCGATCGCGGCATTCGCGGGTTGTGATTTCACTTCCGTCATCCATCGCTGCGATGTCAATACTGACGAAGTGTCAATATCKACCTCACACTATCAATATTATCATCAGTAAACAAATACTGACGACTCGATATCCGAATTTTTCATCAGTCATCAGTATCGTTTTTCCATACTGACAGTACATCAGTACTCACATTACACGATCAATAATACTGTCAGTATCAAAAATACTGTCAGTAAAATTGATCGTGTGAGGGCCGCTTTAGATAGTTGGATCATGTACATATATACATATGATCTAAGAAGACACCTGAGTTGGTAAATTGTACAGTGTGTCTTTGTATTGTGTAAGAATTCTTATAATATGTACTTGAAAAATGAACGTTGTCGACAGTGGTGATAAAAATAAATGATAACAGAATACTGAGCATTAAAAATGTGTGTTATTCTTTTGAAATAACTAAGTTTAACAATTACTGACAACTATTGAACTTCAAAATTTTTGACGTATAAATAGCTAATAATGTTGTCGTTAAACCAAGACGATGTGAAAAGTCTTTTCAATAAAGAATTCGATTTCGTCAGCGCCATCCTAAATCAAGTGAAACTGCCGGAGCGCGTAGAAGACTCAGGTACATTTTTTAATAAACATGTGCATTTTCAATTTTCATGACCAAAAAATACTACTGTACTGACATACAAAAAAATGCATTAGAATCAAATGATATTAGTAAGATCATTTTGGTCTCGAGTAGCTGATATTATTAAAATTTATATTCTGTGCATGCAATGTGACTAATTCATAACGTGAGTTTATTAGATCAATGTGATGGTTGACATCCATCCTAAACTTGAGTGTGCCTTTTATGAATCACTAATTGTGTGGTAATTTATTTTTATGTATATATTTTTTTTCAGATTCAGAAGTAAGCGATACTAATGAAAAAGTCAGAAGTAAGCTTTGCTTTTTTTTTTATTATTTACATATTTTAAGTATGTTTTTGACTGTATGATTTTGCTTAGAGCCAATACTTGCAAGTGATGAAATAAACAGAGCCCAAAGCTTAGACGAACTACACACAAGACTGGCTGCAATAAGAGGTAATGAATATAAGTGTAGATATTTAACATCAGAATTTTATTTATTTTGCTATTATTTTATGAAAAAATATTATTCATTTGACTTAAAATTGTAAGATAGTACTGTATTTTTTGTGTTATTTCCAGCTACTAGTTACTAAAAGAGTGTGGTTCAAACCATGTAATATTTTCATTTTTATCAATACTATTCTCTTTAGACATTTTTTAAGTTACCTCATATTAAAAATTAAAATGTAAACATTTTAAAATGGTTTTGGTGGTGAAAAATGTTGTACAGTTGGTAGTGTTAGTACATAAATTGTTTTTACTCTATCATTATAAATTAAGTTTGGTGTTACTTAAAAAGTAGAAATGTATGTAGCTGTCATCAATCAATTATGATAACTGTAATAGCCAGTGGCAGGTATAATAACTTAAGTCAAGTGATTAATGTTATGAATCAAATATCAATTGTACACATAATAATACAGGTAATTAAAACGAATATAATTTTTTTAACTTTTATTTAGAGAAAAAATATACTTACCGAGGAAAAATAATCAAAAATAAACTTCAAAATAAGATTAAGAGAAAAAAAAAGGTACACGAAAAAATAAAGGGTGAAAAAAAACCAAATGACAGTGTTGAAAAAACAAATGAAAAGCCTCCTAAAGTAAATGGTACTAATAGCAAGCCTAAATTAGTATTCAATCGTATAAATTTCTTAGGAGAACAAACTGAAATAGCTCCAGCTCCAACTAGTACAAATGCAAAGGTGGCTTTAGATGAAATTAAAACAAAGCAACAATTGTATAATGAACTTGAAAAGTCAGGTGAAACTGAAAAGGCCAAAAAGTTAAAGGAACGCGATKCTTGGAATAACGTCTTGGCTAAAGCTGAAGGAGTAAAAGTTAAAGATAATGTGGAGTTATTAAAAAAGACTATAGCCAGAAAAGAAAGACAGAAAAAGGTTAGTAAAACAAAATGGGAAGAAAGAAAAATTACCCTAGAAAAGACCAAGAAAGAAAAGCAAGAAAAACGTACAAATAATTTATTGAAAAAGAAACAAGAAAAAAAGGAAAAAATAAAAAAGAAAGCAATAAAAAAAGGCAGATTTGTGCCAGGTATAAATTAGTAAAAAAAAATTTTAAGTTTGTAAAAAATTGGTGATCTTATTAAAAATTATAAAATTATCAATATTATTTCATATTTTATTATTATTATTTTTTTTTTTTTTTTAACACAATAATATGTAATATAATATATTATTATATTAATTGTTCTTATATTTATTAGATAACAACTAAATGTAAAAAATTATCAAGGTAACTCATGTGTTCACTCATCCATTGAACTGGCGTTTCATGAGGTATACATATGCCATGAGTAAATACTTTAGCTGAAAACAAAAAACATTTTTCAATATTGAAACAAGTTTTTAAATTCTATAAACAAACTTACGGTTATCTACCGATGGATAATTCAGTTTTATCAGTTCTCCCAAAGTTAAATGATTTCCATCATCTGAAACTGGCTTAACTAGTGTTTGTGTCATAACTGATGATCCTGATCGATAAAAATGAACAGGTATGTGTTTGAAATGACTTCCTTCAGATGGTTCCATTAGTTTTTTATTCTCTGACCAAAACTGATCGAATTTGTCTAAAATGTAATATTTTGTTATTTTATAAACTAATATTTAAAAAAAAAAACCACCATTAAGTAGTCCAGTCCATAATTGATTGTGCTGATGTCGCTGCATAGTTGAAAATACTTGACTTCTGTGTTTTAACATATCAGCTTCTTTCATAGATGACATAAAATTAGATTCTACAGATTCTCTATAAAAATAATTAATTAATTATCCGTGAGATACATTTAACATAAATTATCTTACCGGCATGAGCATCGTAATAGTTGATCTTCAGGAAAATTATCAAAGTGAACAGTTATTTGCCATGGTAAATCAACTTGTTTATTATCGATTGTAAAGAGATCATATAGAACACCAATAGGATAATTCCTATATAAATTAAGAACTATTAATAACAATATTTTTGCCAATGATTACTAAAATCATTATTAACAAAAATGTATACTTCTAATAAAAAAAATTATTATTGTTGTTGATTTATATTGTAGAGTATAGATAATATCAACTGTACAAATATACATATTATTTCATCAAATCAATAACACTGATGGACAAGAAGAATTGCATTAGGTAACTACTGATAGAAATAAGATTTTTTTCAGAAAAAACAATTGTTTGTAGGTTGACCCTTGATGGGCTGTGTGATGTAATTTGACTACTCAATTACCACTAATTCAGCCATAATAATAATAAAAGATAAAACAATTAGATATAATGTGTTACTCTAAGAATATAAGTGTAATGAATCATTTCAAATGGCCAAGACATAATGATTTTATTTTGTTTAAAATAAAACTCCTCTTTCCTTTGAACACCATATTGATATCACTGTTGGTAGAGCGTTAAAAATTCTGGGGTTTTTAAAGCGCAACACTAGTCTTTTCACATCCGCTCTTTGTCTTTGTTCGCTCTGTCTTAGAATATGGCACAGTTATATGGTCCCCATATCTAACTAAAGACCAATTACGTTTAGAGCGAGTCCAAAACTGCTTCCTTTCCTACGCTGCATTTAAACTCAACATTGATCACCCACCCCATGATTACCAATCAGTCAGAACTTCCTTAAATATCCCTACTCTTGCTTCTCGCCGTGTAGATGCTAATCTCTCCTTTATCACCTCTCTCATAAACAGTACAATAGATGCCCATGACCTTCTGTCCTCTATGTCTTTCCAYGTTCCTGTACATTTCACTAGAAATCACTCCCTATACCTTGTCTCCTCTCACCGTACTAATTACTCCCATAATAACCCGTTAGATAGAATGCTTCGCCTACTCAATAGCTCCTGATCAGTAGCTGACTATGTTTATGTTTATCTCCACTGATTGTTTTCGACTTTAGTTTTACTTTACTTTAGCTTATACTCCTTATAGCTTAACACTGTTTAATATAAGTTTAAACTTAAGTCTTTAATTATAACTATACTACTTTCCATGTATATTATTTCATTACTATCTTTTCTTGTTAATCTACTAATATTATTGCAATGTATCTATAAATTGCCGTTTGGTGTTAAATAAATAAATATGTATCATAAGTTATAAGATATAAGGTATCATATTACAACATTTAAGTTTTTATTAAAAAAAATATAACTAAATAATGTCAATCATTTAGCTGGTCTTAGCCCTTAGAGTAGGGAATACACACCCAGTTGGTCAAGTTCTGTATAAATAACAGTGAAAAATATTTGTATTACCTACATGCTACATGGCTATAGATATATCAATTATCAAATAAATATTACATATATACATATTGTAAATTACATGACGTGAAGTTTAATAAGAAAACAAGGTAAGTATAAATTTCAAAGTTGTGAATTATAATATATTGAATACTGATGTTTTTAACTTAATGAAACATAAATCATAAGCAAATTGAAATATCTTTATTTTGATTAGTATTAATATAATAACTTACCATTTTAATGGAATATTCTTAAATTCTAACCACATTTCCATTTCTTGTTTTTCAGGATCCACATGTTTCACAAAATGTTTTTTTACCTTAGGAAGAAGTAAATCAGATTTTAACCAATTTATAATTTATACAAGCTAGCAGAATAAATGATAAAATAAGCTAATAAAGCTTGATTGTAAAATACTCAATTTACACAAGGCTAATATTACAAGGTAGCGTTAAACGAGAATCTCTAACTTCACGTAGAAACATCTAACTTTGTTACTAAGCCAGTGAAGCTACCATCCTCAAGTCAAGATGTTAAAGTTTTGTACAAAAAATCTGTGTCCAAAAATAGACAAAATATTGTATAAGATGTATTTTAACTAAATGTATTTATAATTAAACTACAGTACCACAGTACATGGCCATCAAAAGAAAAAGTATACATTGTTGAATGTGTTCCATGGTCTATGACCAATAATCCGCAGACAATAGCATTTAGTAGGTACCTATGGATTGTATTCATATTGTTCAAAAACTTACTTTATCACAGACCAATGGAAAGTAACTCATCCTAGGTACCATCAAGTAAAACGGCTCTGGATTTTGTATACCATGAATTTCTTGTTCATCTAATTGAAAGCATACAGCTAACTTCCCATTCCATAAATAATGAAGGATGTCTGTATCGTTTGCCATTAGAAACGAAACGGTTTTAATGAATCATTCAATAAAAATTTTAATTACGACGTCTTCTATTCTGCGCAGCTACTATCGGTAATTAATTAGTACCTTTATAAACATTTTTTTGATTTTCTAGAAATACTCTAGTTCTCTACCATAATACTACTATTATAATTTTCGAGACTATAAAATTGAAAATATTAATGTCGGTGGTGTATACAAATTACAAATTAGACGTAGAGTCCAATATAAACGTAGGTGCAATTGCGTTATCTATATTAAGTCTTACCTCTCTTATCATTTTTCGGACAACTACTGCAGCTGTCTGCTGATCTCTCGCAAAAAACATTGATATTAAACTCATTAAAGAATAATATCTCTGCAAAAAAACAATAATTGCTGTGTTCAAATAGTAAATATTAGGTAACTAAACTATACTTGTTGATTATCAACGTAGCTACTCCTACGGTTTTCTAACCACAATGAAAATTTTCAAATATTTGTGTACCACACTACCACATACATAATATCAATTGCATGATTTTACGATTCATTGATATTGACTTATTAAGCCATAATTCATATTCATATAAGTTATTGTTATTACCAATAATAAATAGATATAATATGATGATATTATTTTTACCCATGATCGTGGGTTACCTAGCTATAATTGCGATGCGATAATTAATCAAAACTTAGTTCAACCTATAAGTAGGCAGAGGCGCCGACTTATAGATATTAGCGCGGGGGCAAACTCTTCTATCACAGATTATATAATCTGTGCTTCTATTAAGAGGACGTGATACCCGCATGTGCTGTCTCTGTCTTACAAGTGCATTATATGGTAAATTKTACGTTCAACAGAACACGTGTAGCTCCGTTTGCTTAAAAATTAGAGTGAATTGACCTCTTATAAAATTTAAAGGTATGATTGTTATCTATTTAGTCAACCTCATATGCTTTTTAATATATTTAAATTTTAAAGGAAGTTATGAGTATTTTAAGATACACAAAAAGTTCACAATTTTAAAATACTCATAACTCGCTTTAAATTTGATATAAAATAAAAAGCATGTGAGGTTGTCTAGATAATAATCTTACCTTTAAATTTTATAAGAGGTCAGTTCACTCTAATTTTTAAGTTAACGGAGCTACACGTGTTCTGCTGAGCGAAAAATGTACCATGTTATGCATTTGTAAGACGGAGACAACACATGCGGGTATCACGTCCTCTTAAGTGAAAAAAAATTCTGTAGTATGCTGTAGTTTACTTACCGGGAGGAGTAATTACCAAATTG